ATTATTATTATTATTATTATTGCATCAGTGTTTAGTTGTAGTACTTTATTTATAAATAATCTTTTAAGCTTACAATGAGAAGAATATCAATGAACTGATTAGAAGCAGAGTGAAGCTTTGTTTTTGTACATATCTGTAATCACTCCATCATTAACGGATTATATCTCTGCAAAGTGAGAAATTTAGTGGATTTRTATTTATGCAGTGGCTGACATGCATCAGACACCAATAGCTTTTCTTTTATTATCAAGCTGGAMTTACTTGGAAATCATTTCATGGTTCTGTCTTTTGATTTTAAGCCTCTCTGGCACCCTTTAKTGGTACAACAATGATTGTTGGCGTTCACATGAAGTATTTAACTTTAAACTATTTACAAAACGCGGACACGAGCTGGACAGACTCGGGTTTGTTAACCTCTTTTTGTGTGCACTATCATCACAAAAACATTTCTTCTGTAATATATTTTATTTTTTTTTTCTGGTAGTGAAACTAAGGAACAATTTAATTCTATAGAACAATTCTGTTTCCCCCCTCTAGCTCAAAGTACTCTTGCTGATTGTTTTCTCAGGCACCTGCCTTCGGCTATTTTCGTTCCTATTCTGGAGGTCAGGGACATCAACTCTGCTTATTATTCATACCAATCTTSTTAATAATTTTCCATTCTTTGTAACGATATTATGCTGAAGAAACTTRCTGGGATGTGAATATGCAACAGCAAAATAAAATTAGATTTCGGCTACAACTGTCTTGTCTTTACGATGCTTTCATAAGATTTCCTTGATGCGGTATTATCTTATTTCTGGTGATACATTCCAAGTCATATGTTACATATGTGATAAAAAAAGTCACCCTAATAGTAGATTAGGATCCTCTACCAGAGGTCTGGGTGCTTCGGGGTTCAACACAATATCTTAGGTCTTAGGTCGTATTCACACCTGATAGTCCGGTAAACTTGGTTTGATTGGAGACCAAAAGTACATTTGTTTACAGTCTAAGCTTATAAGCTGGTGTGGTTTGCGTTCACACTGCACTTTATCAAATGAACTAAACTCTGTGAACAACCTGTTAACCCCCCTTATCTGTGGCGGCGCTGCACCAAGACTCTCCACAGCTTCTGTATTTCCTCA